CAAGTGTTTGTTGGTGGAAATCAAACTTTCATTAGAAAGCAAAGTTTTTGAAATTTGTTCTGTCTCTGGAGGAAAGGCAAGAAATTATATTATATATACAGACAAAATATATAACTTTAATATGTTTATAGGTCGTGTTAGTGTATTTGTTTCCAAAGCTAGAACCATCGGTTTGGTTTTTCACATGTGTTATGGATTTTTGTTACTTATCAAAAGATTTTAAAACGTATCTAAAGATGTGTATCGCTCACGTAGGAATTCCCAATTGGCAATTCGCCTTCACTCCTGAAGGAATATCTGAATGGACGAATTAATTAACAGTTTTTTTTGAATTAGTTACAGATTTTTTTATACTAAAAGAGATTAAAAAGTGGTTAATCGTCATGAATTTAATCTTAGCTTACATTTTGCATTCTTTTTTTAATTTTAATTTCATTAACTTTTGTACACTTAGACACTGATATAAATTTTGCTCTCTTATTTTTCTTACTTAAACATAACCACAAAATTCGTAGGTGTAATAATAGCAGCTGTCAAAGTTTTAATTAACTTATTAAAAAAAGTAAGTATTTATCATTTTATTGCAATTAGTATGATATACTTTTTTATATATATTGATAATGCATGTCCCCACCCATTTATAATCCAGTGTAGTGAAGTATTACATTAATTTATGTATTATTTTTATTTATGTTGACACTATTATAATCATTTATAATTATAAATGTGATCTCACCCATGAAAACATTGGATTTAATGTTAAGAATAATCTTATAATTACTTCTAATTTACTTTTACCTTTTGCTAATATTTGCTGTTGTCTTAATCACATGATTTTTTTAGTTTAGTAAAGCATGGACAAAGTCAAAAGGGATGCCAAAAATCTCACCAACAAGGCTCTTGAAAAAGCAGAGAATAGTGGTGATGATGTTAAATCATTTATAGACAGAATTTTGGGAGACATCAGCAAAACATCAGCTACAAAACAGCTTGTTCTAGGGACTTCATCTGGATGGTAATAATTTTACTAACTAAACATGCAAATAATAATGAAAGAAAAAGGGTTACAGGATATCTGGCTATGAAAATAGGCAAGACAGCAGCATTAGCACTTGGTGGAAGTATAATTTTATTGGAAATTGCTAATGAGAAGGGATATATTAGAATAAATTGGAATAAAGTTAATCGAGAATTGGACAAAGTTGCTGACAAAATTGATGAACAAGTTACTGGCCAACCACCAAATTGGATGAATAAGGTATAATTGTAGCACAAAATGGTAAAAGTGATGTTATTTTTGTTGCCCATTTATTATATTTTTTATATTTTTCTGATAATTTATTACTACTTGGTTTCATTTATTGCTATAGGATTAATTAACAATATGCATTTATGTACATATATATAGGTGTATAGATATAAAAAAAAAATAATTTCATATATTAATGCACATTTTTCTGATTGTAAGGGGTTGCTTTTCTTTTTATGAGCTATTTCAAAAGCATAGACCAATATCTCTTAATTTTAGGTGGCTGCCTTTGCTAAGTCTAACTGCTCTTTTTCGGCAGGCTTTCTAGGTGGATTTTTAATTGGTGTTGCTTGTCATTAATTAAGCTGAAGACTGATAAAAACGTTTCTGTTGTTTTCGTAGAAAAGAAAATGTTCCTATTTGTATAAAATTCTATTAAAACTTGATTACAAATGTGTTTTCTTTTATTTTGAAGAGAAGAATTAGTTTTAGCTCTAATGAAAGTTTTATGCATTTGGTTTTTAATATTTTTTCAACTTGTTTTAATCTGTAATTTTGAAAATATTACTAGATGGAACGCTATGTAGACAGAAAAATAGACAAAGCTGAAGATATTTTAAAGAAGAAACAAAAAACGGCGAAAAGATGGTATACCTCAATTATTGGTGAAGAGGAGTGGAAACTCAAAGAAATTCATATTTTTTGCGTGTCCTTCATAGCTGGATTGGCGCTTGGAGTAGGAACTTCTTAAAGGAACATTTTAAAATAAATAGTTGTTACTTAATATTAGTCAATAAGAACGTGTAACGTTATTTTAATTATGTAGTTTTTTTATTAAGTAATTTGTTAACAATTCGAATAATAATATCCATATTTATCATGATTTGCTTATTCCTGTTTTTAAAATACCTTAACTATCCTACCCTCACTCTCATTAGATCGCAATAAAATAAAATTGAATGAAGAATTAATAAAACAGATTTAAAAACGTATTTTGATTCAAGTTGAATTTGAACCCATAATTTTGTAATTTAATTAATCTATTATCTAATATGGGTTCCAATCTTGTCATGATTATCTAGAAAAGCACTTTTTAATTAATTACACTACATTGAAATGCTTCGAAGAATTATTTAAGATTAACATATTTACTAACAAATTTTTAAACAGCAAATTTCGTTGGTTGACTAACTGAGCTTTTATGTTTATTGATTTAAATATTTTTTTATGCATCTGGATTGCAATAAATCGATAATTAATGATATTTTCCTGTAATAAGTTGCTTGGCAACATAACAGTATCATGTGTGCTTTTGAAATGGCTAAAGTAAAATGAGTTTTTATCAATGAAAATGGGAAATAAATAATGGATTTTATCGTGGAAAAGATTTCCGAAGATTCATTTTATATTAATTTATTAGTAGGTCTCCCTCAATTATTAGGTAATAAAAGTTGATTTGTCTTATATTTTTTATGGTTTATAAGTACTCAAGTTTTAATAGAAACAATGGGAATTAACGAGTATAATTTAGTAAGATTTCCTCCTGTAAGTGAACCAGAAATTATACAATGGGAACATAAACATGGTGTTACCCTCCCTGAGGATTTGCACGACTTTTACAGCTCTATAAATGGATTTTTGTACGAATGGTTTTATGACTTTAAAGGTAACAGAAGGAACCGTTAAAAATAAAAATTATTGTGAACGAAATTTTATTAGATGTATTTATGTTCTTGTTAGAGGGTTGTGAACAAAAAACGGACAAAGGGAAAGATAATATTGCGTCAAACTATCCAATAGTGGGAAAAGTTGAAGTTAATTCGTTAGAAAATTTAAAACAAATTTTTGGATACGTTACTACAAGCGAACCTGGTATTAGTAAAAAAGATCAAATTTGGGAAATCAAACTTTCATTAGAAAGCAAAGTTTTTGAAATTTGTTCTGTCTCTGGAGGAAAGGCAAGAAATTATATTATATATACAGACAAAATATATAACTTTAATATGTTTATAGGTCGTGTTAGTGTATTTGTTTCCAAAGCTAGAACCATCGGTTTGGTTTTTCACATGTGTTATGGATTTTTGTTACTTATCAAAAGATTTTAAAACGTATCTAAAGATGTGTATCGCTCACGTAGGAATTCCCAATTGGCAATTCGCCTTCACTCCTGAAGGAATATCTGAATGGACAAAAGTATTTAAATTATTTTGGTTTAAGTGTTTCTAAAAATATTTCAAATTTCTCTCGCTTTCAGAGTTTATTCAGATTATTAGCTCCTCATTTATTACCCGGAACTAATAAGCATACCTCCCCCAGAAGAAATTTAATATCAAAAGGGAATATTACAATTACAAACGTAAACAAAATAGATGCATTAATTTTTAGACCTCGGTTGTCCCAATTAACTCCACACGCTAAATTAGAAAACTACGATTCAACGTTAAAACAAAGTTCTAGTCAAGAAAAACAGAATCACGAACTTGTAAAAAAGCAGACGCAACTAAAATATCAGCGAAAACCTCTGTATTATATAAAAAAACATTAATTGAAAACGTCTTCACTTTATTTTCAACGTCTAATTTGTGATCTTACTTTTAATTTTAAATATTTTTCTTGAGTAGTATCTTTATATATAATTTTAAATAAATATGATAAGAAAGTCAAGAAAAGAGGATCCAAAGAAGATATCGCTTCTTATTTAATTGTTTCGTTCTTTAAACAAAGTAATCTAGGAAAACAAAATATGATATAACTGTCACAACAATTTTCATTCAGTTTAGAGAAAAATATTAGTATTTAGATGTGCTAAGTTATTAATTGGAATATAATATAAATACGCTATGAACTGTTGTAGGTACGTAAAATTAGAATATGTTTATTTAATTTACGAGGTAATTTCGGTGTTTGATTTTAGACCTGTACCTTATCTCGTCGAATTTCGTACTTTAAAATTTCTTGTTTCTGGAAGGCCAGAAAAGTATAAAATATCATCTTTTGCTCAGGTAATTACTTAAGATAATTCATTAGGTATTCGTAAAACAATTTTAATTTAAGGAACTGTTTAAGAAAGATGTTAAAAAGCTAGTTAGAGTTTCTGAAGACGCTTACGACGTAAGTGTTTTAAACGCTAAAGGAATAGCTGTAGAAGATTTTTTATTTCCTGATGGAACATTTCCGGAGATTCGGTCAATAGAAAAATGGACACATATAGTTTTTCAGTATTTTATCGAAAATCCTGGACGCGTTTTAGCAGTCCACGATCGCTCTGGTCTCGGAAGAGCTCCACTATTAGTTATGATTGCGTTAACTGAAGCTGGTATGAAAGCAGTTGATGCTTTTGATTTAATTCGTAGGTAATTATATTATGCATAAGCTTCGAAAACCCCCGAAATCAAACGTAAGTTAAAAATTTCTTATCTATTAAATCGAAAAAGTTCTTGCAACTCCACGAGATTAAACACTAAATTACAAAATATTTTATTGACCACAATGACTATTCTTCTTTAGAAAAAGAAATAATAAACTGAAGCCTCATAATAGTCATTTAATAGACATATATTGAATTAAGACTAATTAAGGGGTAGGATTGAACAATAAAAATGCAAAAAAGAAAAATTCCTAATTGCTGAGAAAACAAGAATTATTTACGTAACTAATTTACTTAATCTGTTTATTTCTGGATATTATAACAGATTTAATTTTATGCCTTTCTTTTCTAAATGTAAGTTTTAAAGTCGTTATTAAAACAATGTGATTGTTGTAGTAACTGTTCAACATAATAGAATTAGTGTTCTTCTTAACATACCTTTTAATGTTCATTCACTCCCCTTTGAAGCATCTGCCTGTTTGGCCTATATTATCGCAATCCCCATACTTAAGTTTATATAGGACTAATTTTGAATTTTGGTTTTTGAACCATTATTTATTACACAGGTCTGCGATAAAAAAGTTTTTTGTATAAATTTATCTTAAGCATGCAAATGTTCGTCTATATTTTGCAAATATAAACTTTGTTTTAACGTATCACGTCACATTTTTTTTGTATGTAGATTAATATATGTATA